GCTCTTCAGCTCAAGGCTAGCGCTCTACCACTTGAGCCACAGCGCCACTTCCGGCTTTTTTCTTTTTGCTTATGTGGTGCTGAGGAATCGAACTCAGGGTCTCCGGCATGCAAGGCATGCGCTCTACCACTGAGCCACCTTCCCAGCCCCATAGACTTTATATTGTTTATAACAAAGTTTATAAAGTTAGAAACTAGTCCTAGTTCTTAAGCTCAGTACATTGTTCTTTTTCATTTTAGCCTTTTACAATTCTTTCTTCTATTATAAATGTTTTTTATAACATAAAATATAAAAGTAATTTGCCATTCTGATGTTTTAGAATCACTTGTGGAATTTTTTAACTGATGCTGGTCTGAAAGTCAGAGGTGGTTATAGTACAGCCAGGGTTAAAATCAGTATATAGCAGTGTCCTCAAAGTATGGTCCTTTGACTAGTCTCATCATCACCATTACCTGGTTGGAAATGCAAAATTTCAAGGTCCATCGGACATTTCTGGGTAAAAGCCAACATTTGTGTTTTGCAAGCCTTCCAGTTTATTTGGTGCAAACTAAAGTTTAAGACTCACTAGTATTTACTATAAGAATGTTAAGCTCTTACTTGTTTTGAATGAGATTTAATTACTATTTTTTCAAGAAGAAATAATAAAGTTTTGTGTGAAGAGTGACATAGGACAATTCTATTATTTTACCATAAATATACCATTATAAACATTTAACCATCACTCCACTGGAAAAAAGTAATTTACTGATAGGCTAATTAATAAGATTTTGGAATATTCCTGCCCAGACAACTTTTCCACCTGTATTTTTCATTCTGGTTTGTTCTAATCGATAAAGCACATTTCTAAGACATAGTATTTTAGCCACACCTCTTTTTTTGTTTGTTTTTTTACTAATTTTGAAGACAGAGTTTTACTACATATTCCAGGATGGTCATAAACTTGCTACAAAGCCCAAGCTGACTTTCAACTCATGATCTTCTTGCTCTAACCCTTCAAGTGCTTGGATTACAGGTGTATACTGCCATACTTGGTTAAACTGTAACTTCTGAGCCTGGAATGTAATTTCTAGAAAAAAAGAGGAAAACAAATTATGCTATAAATAATATATAAGATTATTTTAACACATATAAAACAAAGCATTGAACATGAGGAAGTTGAAACCAATTAAATGTCCAAAAATTGGAGTAATAATAATAAATATGAACATCAAAGATAGAATGCTACCATTAAAATGGTACTTTGTATATTAGATTTTAAATACCTTTAGATGATTACTTTTGTATCTGCACATGCTATTTCTTTCAAATGAAAACAAAGGAAATATACTGAAATACTAATGTATATGTCTGAGCATTAAGACTGAGTTAATCATATTAGTATTTTAATCTTTTTATCATAAGAGTATAATTACCTTATTTAACTATAACAGCATTATGCTGTAGGTACTCACAGGGAAGTGCTGTTACTGTTTTATAGTAACAGTACTGCTATATTTGGTAAACAGTCCCGAATTTTTAATTTTCTAATGGGAACAAATGCTTACTAGGTTACACTAGATGTTCATAGTTATTTGGACTTCCAAGACAACTAAAATTTCAATATCAATTTGAGAGACACCCACTCAGCTTTCTAAATGTTCCTTACAAATCAAAGTTATTAAAACTACACCAACTAATTTACCATCACTATTATTTTGTAAGAGAAAAAACATTTAAATACTCCATAAAAAGCAGAAGACAGTCTTATACTAAATAAAACTATTCCCAAGAAAGGACAATTGGCAATTACATGTCAAAATTACTTGTACCTTTATTTTTCACATACCAATAAATACTTAAGGATCAAACTAGTCTATAACAGCACTTGATAGAAGACACCTTGTTAGCTTTCTTCTTCTAGCTTTCTCATGAGATGTTTCACAAACATCAAACCACTTATTACATTCATTAGCAAAGGAATCCAGGATCAAATGATCACAAATATGAAACTACTACACCTAGGGTCTTGTATGCATTTAGAAGCATGATAAAAAACAATCATTACAGAATGTACAAATATTATCATTATAAATTGATTCCAAAGAATATTACCCACCAGATATTTTAATATGTAGGTATTTTCTATATTCACATTATCACAAATGAATTCAGAACCTTAAAATAAACATCTTATGCAGTTAAAGAAATAATCATGCTTCTCTGTATGCTTTACCTCATATATGGTGCATACACGTGCACATTTGAGGGAAGATGAAGCACAGCACAGAATCAGTAGAAAGTGGGTGAAAAAAAACAGCAGAGGGGCCCATTAACTGCACTGTAATTATGAAATTATGAAAGTGAACTAGGCAACTCAAGGGTGGTGATAGGAGGAAGGGAATGACAGAGAAGAGGGAGAGAATGACAGAGAAGAAGGAACAGCTGATACTAAGCAAAAGGAAAGAAGTGTACAGATCACCCGATTTGTAAAAAAAAATAGTTTTATTGTTAAAGGTCATATAGTTCATAAGCAATGTAGATTAAGATAATGATGACTATCATTGTAAGGTTTAAAAGGTGCTTGTGAGTTTAAAAAAGTCCCTATAAAAAAACAAAACAAAACAATTCCAGGAATAAGAAAAAGGGAAACAATATTCTCAATTTTTTGTCTCAAATTTTCTTTAGTCTCTGAAGACACTTTTGATTAGCAAAAAATATTACACTGAAATTGCTAAGCAGCAAAACCCAAAATAAATGTCTTGATGTTTGGCTTTCAAAAAAAAAAAAAAGACTCATGCTTGTGATGCAACTCATGATGCAATTTTCCTTGTGGGAGCTGAGAGTACTACTACATTCTCAGGTGCTATGGCTTCCAAGGAAAGTCACTAAGCTAGAAAATGCCACTGGATCATATTTTCTATATTCTGCATTCTACCAATATGTAAAATCTGCGTCCTGGGAAGAAGATGTGGCAGGATTTAAGAGAAATTCAGTCACAGAGAAATGGAAAACTTTCAGTGTGAGAATTCACTTTCACATGGGATGATCAAGAAATCACAAGGCCCCAAATGTAGAAATGTTTGTTTTATAATTTTATCTGTTGCTTATTAATCCACTGAAAAGAATTTCAAATTTCAGCTCTTATAGGCAACTTGTCTTTTTTTTTGGGGGGGGGGGGAGGGTCGTTTATGGGGCTTGAACTCAGGACCTGGGCACTGTTCCTGAGCTTTTTGGCTAAAGGCTAGTGCTCTACTACTTTAAGCCACAGCCCCACTCTTGTTTTTCTGGTGGTTAACTGAAGAGTCTCACAGACTTTTCAGCCTGGGCTGACTTTGAACCGAGATCCTTATATCTCAGCCTCCTTGGTAGCTAGGATTACAGGCGTGAGCCACCAGCGCTTGGCTCTTTGTCACTTTCTTCAGCTTCAGCTTCTTTAGGATCTTTGTCACTTTCTTCAGCTTCAGCTTCTTTAGGCAACAGTGGGTCAATCTTCAGCAGCAAGCCTTCGCTTGTTGAACTACGAAGGAAAGCACGAACTACAAAGGGACCTGGCAACAAAGACAAGAACCAACTTTGCTTACTCCACATTAAGTTATAACAAAGGGCAGATAATTCCATCTTTATAGTAGAAAATAAATTAGCTGTCCTAGAGGATTCATCTTTGAAACTGCAAACTCACTAATAATCCATTTCCTTCTCCCAGAAGAGGATCAACTAGAATTCATTTTATTGCATAGTCAACAGTGAAGATGCAGGTGGTGATATTTACATTTAACAGAAATACTTAAAATATTTAAATTTAAGTGTTGAAATATTTAACTTGTACATGTAAATATTTAAGATCTATGTTTAAATGCTTTTGTGTTTAAAATAAATACTTATTAATTTTAATATCTACTTAAAACAGTCAACACTGAAGGTACTTTTGGATTACCAAAAAGCTTGTGAAATTCTCTCAAAAGTTTTTCGTAAGAATTCATTGAAAATGGCAGGTGTCATTTAAAATGTCAAAAAAGAGAATAGTTGTTCTGCTTAAAGGACTTTCTATCACCCTTGCATCTCACAGGATCCCTCTATTGCAAACAAAGTTCTCCATGTAACATAAGAAGTCATACACATGCACTGACTACAAGCTATGGACACATACCGAAGAAAATAATAAACGAGTTACTTAACCAACTGTTTTAAATCCCCAAGGGGAAGAAAAACAGCATTAATTATTAACACAGTTATAAACAAAGCCTGGCAAAAGTTCTATCATGATAAGCTCATAAGTGAAAAGACAACCATTCATGAGTAAAGTTGATTTGAAGAAGGAATTTGAGTGGTACATAATGTAATAATAAAGGCAATGCACTAATTTGTAATCTAGCCTCCTACACAGTTTATATATCTTGATAATGTTTACTATTTCTCAATGTTTTTAAGAAGTGACTGTCCAGCCAGGCAATTATGTCTCACCCGTATAACCCAGCTACTCGGAGGCTAAAATCTGAGGAAGCCAGGCAGATAAATCCAAAGAGGACTCTTATCTTTAACCAGCAAAAAGCAGGAACTGGAGATGAAGCTTTTAGGGAAATCGCTAAGTGAGAATGTAAGACCTTGAGTTCCAGTACCAACACAAACATACTCTCATGACCATGACAAAAATACTCTTCTCTTTTCTAAAATAAATAAGATGAAGAAAACCAGTTAAAAGGACGCAGCTAGTAAGATAACTAGAAAGCCCACAGAATGGGAAAAGATTTTTACATCAGACAAGGGCCTCATATTAAAATATACGTAAGAGCTCGAAAAATTAAAACCCCCAAAAGCAAATCCACAAAGAAACAATAACCTAATTAAGAAATGAGCTAAACACTTAAAGACAGACTTTTCAGAAGAAGTATAAAATGGCCAATAGACATACAAAGAAATGAAATGTTCAACATCTCTGACCATAAAAGAAATGCTAATCAAAACAACAAGATTCCACCTCACCCCAGTTAGTATGGCCATATGAAGAAAACTAACAATAACAGATGCTGGTGGGGAGGTGGCCAAAAGGGAACACTACTACACTGCTGGTGGGAATGTAAACGTGTTCAAGCACTCTGGAAAGCAGTATGGAGGTTCCTCAAAAGACTACACATAGAGCTCCCCTTTGACCCAGCAATCCCCCTCCTGGACATTTACACAAATGACCAAAAATAAGACCACACTAAAGCTATCAGCACAACCATGTTCATTAAAGCATTATTTACCATAGCTAAGACACGGAATCTGCCCAGATGCCCCTCAGTAGATAGAAAATGTGGTATATATACACAATGGAATTCTATGCTTCTTCTATCAGAAAGAATGATATTGAACCATTCATAAGAAAATGAAAAAAACCTGGAAAAAATTATATTAAGTGAAAATAAGCCACACTCAAAGAAACATAGGTTGCATGGTTTCCCTCATTTGTAGTCATTACAATGTACCTATAAATCTACAAGTAAACACAACGGATAGTAAAACACAAAAAATTACACTTGGACATGATAAATTATACAGGACTCTAAACATTCACACAATGAGATCAAAGGAGGATATTCTTAGGAGAGGACCACAAAGGCTCAAAGCAATGCTCATAAGATCATATAAAATGAAGTTTATCGAAATGAACTCTAAGAAAAAGGAAACAAAGTTTTATGTTATTTTGCCTGTTTTTTTTCTCCTTTGTCACTTTTTATTTCTGTTCCTTTTGTTTTGTATGTAAGTATATCAGTTTTGGGGAGATTAAAGGTGGGCACAGAAATGGTGGGACAAAGGGTGAACAAATGCAGCAGTGACACTTACTAGACACTATGTTGAAAATGAACTCCACAACTTGTGGAGGTGAGAGGATGGGAAAGAAAAAACTGAGAGAAAACGAGGGAAGAAGTGACACTGTTCAAAAAGAAATATACTCATTACCTGACTTATGTAACTGTAATCCCTCTGTACATCACCTTTGCAATAAAAATAAATTGTAAAAGAAAGCTAGCTGCTAATGTCTGGACAAAGTGAATTATCTGGCTTTAAAATATAATTTCACGAGTGATTTTAGTTCTTCTTTTAAAGTAATCAATTTTCTTTCAAATCTTTTTTAGATTTAATGACTAGAATAATGTGGGAATTTAGAAAGCTCAGAATATATACCTTATTAATGATAGGGAAGTCCTTCTCTGAAAACTACAACATTAAAAAACTAAGCAAAAATCCTTCAGATAATTAAATTTTATTTATTTACTTCTAGGAAATATTGATACTAGTATACTTACATGTTAACTTATTTTCCTAATATTTTACATGAGTTAGGGCTAAAGGGTAATCGATGTTTGCAACCCACTTACCCAAATTTAACGGTCTGTGCCTACAGACTTCATTAATAACGGTTCTCAGATTGGCAGCTATCTGGTCGCTTGACATATCCAACTGAAAGAAAAGGGTAAGTATAACATTAATGATAAGAGTAAGAAGAAATACAATTTGGGTGACTACATAAGTATTTTTTATTCATAGTTGCTTTTCAAAATACTTGATGCAATATTTTTTAAAAGACTCTTATGAAAAAAAGAAAGACTCTCTAACTTTTCTTTGCAATGCTACACTTAAATGACTACATATAAAGATTTCATTACCTTGAAGAACATATTATATCAGAGTGCTTTAAAATCTTTCCACTTGATGTTCCCTGATTTCTAAGTATTTGCCCCAAAGCAAATCTTGGATATACATACCATACCTTATATCTTCTCCTAGGTATTAGTGGTACTTTTTGTTAAAGTTGGTGATTTACTTACAAAGGAAACTAAGAAAACATTTAGAAATTAATGCTTCCACGGGTACAAAATAAAGCAACTTGACTAAATGTATTCAGACAACATGTATATCACAGAGACAATTTCAGGATGCTGTGCTAATATTCTAATTTTTCACTGGGTGCCAGTGGCTCATGCTTGTATTTCTAGATCTCAGAAGGCTGAGATCTGAGGATCATGGTTCAAAGCCAACCCAGGCAGAAAAGTCCCTGCTGTGGCTCAAAATGGTAGTTTTCAGAGAAACGTGGTAGAGAAAAGTGGTAGAGCAAAAGAGCTTGGGGACAGTGCCCAGGGCCTAAGTTCAAGCTCCACAACCAACCAAAAAAGAAAAAAATAATAAAGTTCTGATTTTTTAAACACTCTAGGCAATACTATATGCCGCAATTTAGCAAAAACTATAGTAATTAAATAAATGGTGAGCAAGTCCTATTCATAAAAATATTCAAACCTTAACTAAATTCTTAAAATGTCCTTTAAAAGTCCTGCTGTTTGTGAACCAAATTCAGTGAATGTTAGTCTTCTTAAATATACTAAATTCAGTCTTATTTCATGTAAATGTTTCGAGAATTTTATACTGTGCCAAATGAATCCATTTCTAATAATTAAATACAACTTATAATAGCATAACTGGCCAAAAATAAGTGGCTTGGTGGGCACCGGTGGCTCCCACCTGTAATCCTAGCTACTCAGGAGGCTGAGATCTGAAGATCTCAGTTCAAAGCCAGCCCAGGCAGGAGACTCTTATCTCCAATAAACCACTAGAAAACCGGAAGTTTATCTCCAATAAACCACTAGAAAACCAGAAGTGGCGCTATGTCTCAAGCGGTAGAGTGCTTGCCTTGAGCTGAAGAGCCGAGGGATAGCACCCAAGGCCCAGAGTTTAAGCCCCATTACCGACCAAAAAAAAAGGTGGCTTTTCAAAACTATATTTATCTTCTAACTTCATTCCATGGGTGGGAGTTTCCAGAGGGGAAAAAGTCAAAGTAGGGCTGGGGAGCTGGGGACATGGTTCAAATGATAAGGCAGGGCATTTGCCTAGCAAGTATGAGGCCTGAATTCAAAGCCCAGCATTGGCCAAAAATAAGCAAATACATAAGCTAATTAAATCATAAATTAATTAGAGCAACGTTTTGTGCACTTTATTAAGTTCACAGATTCAAAACCTTAAGGTGCAACATAGCAGAGAAAGCACCTTACACATTTTACGTTAAAAAGAAACAAATGAAAAGGCAAAGGGCATCCACATGTGCCCTTACTATCTCTCAGTGCAATTTTTCACTTTTCCTCTGATTAACCTATTAGCAACTGCAATGACCACCACGGCTCTCACAAATTCCTTTACCCTTTGACAAAGACCTATGCCAACTCTAAGTTTGAAATAGAAGAAAAAGCTACATGTCCAACCTTTTTTTTATCAGTTATATTGTTGTAATACATATGGTACACTTAGATTTTTTTTTTTTTTAAATGGGTCATTGAGCTTGAACTCTAGGCCTGCGCTCTGTCCCTCAGCTCTTCAGCTCAATGCTAACACTGTACCAGTTGAGCCACAGCACCACTTCTGGCCTTTTCTGTTCAGTGGTGCTGAGGAATCAAACCCAGGGCCTCATGCATGCAAGGCAAGCACCCTACCACTGAGCCACCTTCCCAGCCCCAAGCTTAGATTTTTATAACTAATATCTGCAACCCAATATTACCATTCCTACTGTAGGCTAAAACAACAATATACACCTTAGAAACGTAAACCATTCCCCATACAGCTTTCATTATTAGGATACCTCCAGTGACTTGTTTTGTTTCTTGGCAAGGACAGGATGGAATGGAAGACAAGACTCAGGATTATATTCAGAGGCTTTCTGCCCTCTGCCACAGAGCTGTATCCTAACAGATTCTCAACAGCAGACAAAGAGAACATTGAACTCTGTGAAGCACCATATCTGATGTTTAGGTAGTGATTGTCTACTTCAGGGGAAAATAGCTGCCTTTTTGCTGTAATTCTTAGATTTTCCCTTCCATGCAATTCCTAAGGGTTGTATTCAACAAATTTCTTACTATTATGAAAAAACAAAATCAGTCATTCTCACATTTTTTTTTGGTCCCTGTGAAAAATGTTATTTTTTTTATCTCAAGTTTGTCAAGCACATGTCCAGGATAGATTTGGGTCATGGAATCTTATTCCAGAAAAATATACACAAGCATATTAAAAGAACAAATACCCTATGCTTTCAAGGTTTTCATGGATTCTCTGATTTTTTAAAAAAAAGTGAAGAGAGTTGAATGAGTCCTGGGGCAAGTGTTTCAGTTGAGTTACACTTTGAGTATTGAGGCAAGTTTGTTCCAATACTATGGAATATACTGTGAAAAAAATGATTTCTGCATTTTATGCAGGATAGAACTTAAGGCAAAGTGCATACATATTACTTCTAACGCGTCCAGCTTCTGTCGCTGTAATGTCCTGATAATCCTTACATGACTGATCACCTCTAACTGGATACTGCAGAGGACTGCTGCTGTGGATAAGCACTTTCACAATTCCCTGACCTCTAATAACCCTTCCAAATGCAATACTCCTAAGATTAGAGAAAGTGGGCTCAGCAGACACAGGCATCTTCTGCAAGTTGGCCAACACAGTAAACCTCCATGACTCCTAATAGTCTAAACTGGAAAAGAAGGAATGGCTATCTGCAGTTCTCCTAAAGAAAATTAAGTAGTGATAATAACAATGATGGATTACACAATTCCATTTATTGCGCATTTACTTTGGGACGGCTCTAAGCAACTGTAGGTACATTTTCTTTCTTTTTCTTTTCTCCCAAGAAGTCTATGAGGTAAATATCCTTATTATCTCTCAAAAGCTAAGATCCAATTAGGAGCTAAGACCCAGAAAACTTTTTATCTTATCCAAGAGCAAATGTATAGTAAGATGTCGTCTGGCAGCTCTTACGGTGGACAGACATGGATGTCAACTCTCCTAACACCACTTGCTACCTTATGACCCAGCTACAACCTATTGGTGACCCTTACAAAAAAATGAAGCATTATTTGTCTGAATGAGTTTGTTATAAACTAAGGGGAAGAAAAAAAGAGACTATGTGAGAAAGCCTACTTCACTATCATAAATACTTTTAGATGGTAACACCATTCAATTTAGCAAATTTACCTAGCCCCCCTCCCCCCACCCCCGTGTGTCAAACAACATGCTGGGAACTAGAAAGATAAGAGAGATACAAACATTGCTCTCAAGAGGTCACAATCTACTCACTGAAATAAGCAGTGACTGGTGCCATTAGGTTGAAAAGCACCATGAGGGTACTAAGAAGAGACTGACTTTGACAAGGAAGGCTTTCACTCAAAAAACAGGTACTATTTAAGCTGAGTATAAAAGGACAGTTTTGAAGGCCAATGGTAGTATTCTCAAGCAAGGGGCCACTACAATATGAGAACAAGGTAGATCTGGCAGACCATCAGGTAGCTCATTATATCTAGGGAACATTTATGGCTGTAGATGACTCAGCTTAAGTGCATATGCACATAAGCTGTGCACATGTGGACAGCAAGCACCCTATGCAGGAAGAGTCAGGAGCTACTAAGAGACAGACTGATAATGAGAGATGTGAGGCCAGTTTCATAATTCTTGATTGGGATAAAAAGAAAAATCCTATTATAATCTATACCCACTTGCAGTAGAAACAGAAGCCAAGATAGGTAGCAAAACTACAGAGCTCATGTGTAGACACTGGTGGTACCTCCAAGAAGGGGATACTAGCTGGTGGAACCTGTGTTATATGAACATCGAACTGATGAGAGACGGTCACATGATCACAAATATTCCCAGGTAACCAGAGGTTTTTTTTGCCTTTTCCCTTTACTCTCCTCCTCAGGACCTTTACCCAAGAGTAGAGCTACACCTCCAGCCATGAAGGTTGAAAACCTAATAAGCCTGCTATACTTCAGGCCGCACAATCCATAAAAGCCTGGTTCTGTACTGAGCAAAGGAAGCCTCTGGATGTGAGATCAGAGCTATGAACCAGATCATCTACACTTTCAATAACTGAAAGCTACTGGAACTATGAGATCTAACCAACAAACTTACACCTAACAGAGAAGGGACATTGTACCCAGAACAGTTGGAAGCAGAGAATGGAAAAAAAAAAAATCTTCTGGTTTTTATCTCACAAAATTCAGACTAAAAATGCATTCTGTGTACATGAAATTTGTGGTGTTGTGTTCCAAAGAGCTATATTCATAGTTATGTGATGTTATAAACATCTAAATACTCAACAGAAGAAATAAAGTTGATTAAACTGATACATCCATAGAACAGACAATAAACTAGCTTTCAATATGATACATTTCAAGAAATTAATGACATGGAAACACATTTGAGTTTCAAGTTTAAAGATAAAAGAATATAAAATACAATTGTACAAAAAGTACTAAAAGGTTACCGATTATAGGAATTCTGAATTATTTTTAAATTATTACTGTACTGTTTAGCATTGTCCAACTATTTATTTTGCTTTTTAAATTTTTAGCAAGGGTTTACTTTCATATAACAGAGTTAAAAGGAAGAAAAAGAGGAGAGAAAAACATTTTGTTCTCTGTATGCAGGAA